AAGAAAAATGTCAACAATGCATATTAATAATTTCGATTTATTTAAATTCAATTTTTCATACATAAACCTCGAGCAAATATAAGAAACCTTGTGGAAAATCCATCATAATGGGATTTTTATTTTTGTAAATGACATAACTTTGTTTAAAATTTGTAATTGAAATATTGATAATACTAGTTCAATTTTATACAAATTTCTTTTCATATTTTCAAAAATAAACATCTTTTTCTATTGGTTTATTAAAAATACAATGGACACAAAGCATCCTATATTTGAGTGTCTAAAAAAGATTCGATGGAAATCGTTGGAAAATAATGTTTAAGACACATCAGCGTCTTATTATTTCAATGTCTAAAAATAAGACATGCCAAATGTCTAACTGGCGACTCAATTAGACTTTAGACGGTTGTACCGTCTTGTAAGACACATGGCATTTTTTAGAGTGTAAAGAGGATATGGTAAAGATAAAGTTTAATACGCTATAGATAATATAGTAGGAAAACCAAAGGATATCAAAAAGTACTACAAAAAAAAGAAATATAGCCAGGAGAAAAAACAAACTTATCACTCTCGACGAATATTGTCGAATCGGGTCATGGCACCAATTGTTAGACTGTAGCTAACAACTCCTGGTTCTCCTTTTATTATTTCTAAGAGAAGATAGAAAAGACCTAGCTTGGTCCAGATGATCAATCAAGAGGAACTAGAAGTGAGAGAAGAAAAGAGAGGTAGTGGTGAAAGATGCTACTACCTAAGATATTGGTCAGTTTTTTAGATTGCCTGTAGCAACCGTAGGGTTCATTTTGTTTTTCGGAAAAAAGTAGATGTCGACCTTTCCCTGGGTGTAGACATCATTTCTGGAAAGTTTCATTGCATTTGCTCGTACTGTCTCCAAATGCATAAAGAACAAACAAACAGACAAACATTCTTCTTTATATATATAGAAGATAACATTGAAATAAAGATTTTTACTCATTATTGTAGAAATAACAAATTTCAAAATACAACAAACGAAGATTCGTTCTTAGCAACATTCACCGAATCAGATGCTGATAAATATTTATCTGAACTTTTACAAGTATTCGAAGAACAATCTTTTCAAACTGAAACTGATACATTAATGGAAGTCACAAAAATATTTGATGATATTGAAACAAATAATGAACAGTTTCCTTCAGTTGAAAATCTCATAAACACAATAGATCCAACTTCATTGACTACTTGGTTAACATCGACGCAAAATAAAGATTTAATTGATCGTGTCGACGAATATCAAGAAAAACTATTAGTAAGTTATTGTGTTCGTAATTATTTTCGAAATAGAAATGAGCTAGAAAAAATGTCATTTTTACAAAAATTTCTTGTCAATCATTTTTAAGTTGAAAGTTTTTCAAATCTATATGATTTATATAGAAACTTAATGTCTCACAGTGATAAAAATATCGAATTTGTCTGAAGAAATAAAAATCTAAATGGAATTAATAATAATAAAAATATTATTTAATACTTTATTCGTATAAAGTTTTTCATTGACATAAAAGAGTAACAAAGTTTTAAGCAGAATAAATTGATTCTTCTATAATTACCACAAATTTTGTTTAATGAAACTTGTCTATTAAAGAATGTTTTTGATTTTATTTAGAATTCTTCATCTTCACCATCGATTTCAACAAATTCAACAACATCAAATATTTCCGTAAAAAACAATATGAAGAAAAGAAAATTAGATCCAATTGAAAATCTTGAGAGAACTCTTGTTGTAATGAGATTACGTGAAGATATAAATGAAATTAATCTATACAATCATTTCCATCAATCAATTCAAGTAACAATAAAACAATGTCAAACATCATCTCTCGAGTAATTTATTTTATTCTCAATAATATTCTTATATATGAATATCTTTTATTTTAGATATGCGTTTATTTTACATAAAACAAAAGAAGAAGCAGAATCAAATCTTTTAAAACCTATTAATTATATTCTTCTTGGCTCACAATGTCATGTCGAATATGCATGTAAGTCTCCATTTATTCCTCTAGATCATCAATCATATGATAAACAAACAATTGTAATTACAAATATACCAGAAAATGTTACTGCAGATGATTTACGTCATTTATTTACCAACTCTAGTATATTAAAGTATTGTCCAGCACGGATTATTCAACGTAAATCTACCTCCATTGATATTTCAGGCAAAAACAAGATTTTATGGGGGTAAGAATTAGATTTCAATTTCATTTTCTATTTTCAAATGGAAAAGACAAATATTTGTTTTTATATTTTATACGTCCTTACAATACGAAAATATTTTTATAATTTCGTATTATTATTCGTGTCTGTTATATTTAAAAAGTTCTACAATTTTATCAATGAAAATATCTTATACATTACAAATACACGAGAAATCGAGTTGAATAGTAAACCAATAGAATTAAATGCAATTCTATTTAATAAAATCCATCATTGTGAAAAGGGACTGACTTGTCAAAGAATAAGAATTATATTATAAGAAAAGAAAAGACAAAAATCATCGAGTAGAAACAAATGTTTCATATGAGTTCAAATTAGAATTTATTCGTTAGAATCAAACGTTGAGATTCATTCCACACGTATTTTGTTTCGTAGACTGATTTAAATCAGTTGTCTATTTTATCCGATTTCATTTTGAATTATTTTCATTTCAATTTATTCTTTAAAGAAATAAAAATAATTAACATAATCGATATCGACAAATTCATTAGAGAAAACTATTCGATTATTTTTCTTAAGACTCATCTTCATAAAAATAAAATGTTTGAAGTTGATTAAAAGCATAGATAATACTAATGTTTGCCTTTTATTAAACTTTTTCAATATTGTTTTTTGTACAAGTCTTAAATGAAGAAATCTATGAAATGATTATTTTATCTTCAGACTATTGACAGTATTGATTAGATGTATTCTCATCATTTAACTCATATTGTATCGTAACTATTAGTATAGTTTTCAAATGATTATTGTAGAATAGACATCTGTAAATATTTTTGAAAATAATATCGCTATTAACAAATGATATCAATATAAGAAATCCTTCTTTACGATTAAACTACGAAGGTTTGGGAAATCGTATTCGATAAATAAGCAGCAAAATTTGAGTAAATTTTAAAAAAGAAAATTGTCTTTTTTTCGTAGGGAGATAAATTAGATTTAAACAGTTGAAAAGTTTGAGAAAATTGAAAAAATAATTTAAAAATAATCCGTCAAATTGAAGTGAATACTTGATGAATAAATAATATTCAATGGAAATACTTCACAGAAATAATTTCAATTCTTATTATTTTTTATTTCGATTTCAGATATGCATTTCTTAGTTACGACAATGTTCAACAAGCTGCCGATGTTATTGAACATGCTCAACAATATCATATCAATGGTCAATCATTACGTCTTTCTTTTCGTCGCAAAGAGAATTGATTTTAATCAATTACAAAACAATTCATTATTTATCATTTTTATATAAATTTAGAAAAGTTTAAATAAATCTTCAATAAATGAATACTTATCATCGTACATTTTTACAAAAAAACAGATGTTGAAATATTTCAATCAGCTTTGAATTCACTTCTATCTCATTTTTATAGATATGAGAAAGAGAGAGAGAGATTTCTCTTTCATCACATATGTGACAGAAATAATTATACTCTTTTCTTTACATATGAGTAGTCACCTATTTTGTATTTGCCTTCTTCTTTATAATTTTATTGAAAACTTCCGACTTCTTTATAATGAATTTATTTAGTATCATAGAATTGTAATACAATTTTATGCTTTAGTCATTTGTGATTTAATGGGTTTTTCTGACAGGATTATTTTATTGTTATTAAAAGACTATGATAATATTGGATTTGCAATGTAACTGCGCAAATAAAAGCATCGTAAGAGTATGCATGTGGATTCATATACACACATATATTCAAACAAAATCGATTGAAAATTTAATTCTTATATTTAGAACTAGTGACTATTAATCAGATAATCAGAAACAAAATATCTCTGGGTGAACATCGTATAAACAAGATCTTGGTCAAAATAGGGTGTGGGTGTGGGTGTGGGTGTAGATCTTCTATTTCTCCTTATCCGCACTCACATCCTCACCCACTTGGTTGATTTACCGATTGTTAATGGCTGGTTATTATACCGGCGTCATTGTGATCAACTTCGATTAGCAAAAAATGACATTCTATCATTATCACAGTTTCAAATGGCAGTTGCTGGGGCTTTATTAAAATCAGTAGCACCAGAACGTCCAGTCCAGCGGGGACGACCAACTGCACATCTTCGATCAAAAACAAATAGTCAATCTAAGCAACGTCGAGCTATATCTATTCAACCCCCATTAACAGTACTCGTCGTGATGGATTTCATCACTGGCCAAAGTCAACAATAAAAGGACGTTGTCGTAAAATTGGATGCTACACTATATCAAAATTTTTGAATAAGAAAAACTTTTCTCACCTTTTTCGATCCCTTTCGGCCGGATGTTGCCATTTGGCAACATCATAGTATTCTGTTATATATCGATTTATCCTTCCTCATATTAAAACCTTATCATGTATATCATCCAACAAGAGAAAATATGCAGAGTACGATTTTCTCTCTTAAGTGCTTTTAGAAGCCGGCTGGAAGGAATTAATTAAAAAAACAGTTTTCTTTGTATAACATCGCTCCTATATGATCATCCCGCTTTCTGAAAGATTTTGGAAAGTCCCGCTGGTGTTCACAATAGAGAAGTTTTAATGTAGTTAGTTAGTATAAAAATAAAAGAAGAAAAAAAAAGTTGCGGACATCCAGATTATTTTAAAAAGAATCGAATTGTGAATAAAGTTCAGTTTCGAAAAAAAGTTGTAAAAGAAATGTTTTTGATTTATTTCATTTGAAATTGTTGTTGGTAATGCGCAAAAATCCAAGCCAACCTATATCTTGTATTAACCAGAACAAGTATAATAATCACCACCAGAACCATCCTCATCAGAAGAACAAGAAGAGCCAGAATAATAACCACCATCAGAAAAAGAACAATAAACAAGAGTATTACTACTGTCGAGACAAGCAATACAACCAGTACCACTAGCACAGCAAGCAGCACTGCACAAAGGAGTTGAGGCTAAAATTGAAAAAAAGTATTAATAGATAAATAAATATCATAAGGACAACAATACTAAAAATCAATCATGATTGATCGTAAATCTCAAATGCACTGTTCACAAATGTATGAAAGAAAAGAAACAATGATGTTATTCGAGAACTTTGATTGTTAAATGATAGAATTATATCGTACTTGTTGAGCTAGATGAATATGTGAAAGTAGTCTCCACAAACTGAAATCATTTTGAGACATAGTCAAAACGGAACTTTTTCTCAATAGCTCAAAAGCGAAACAGCTAGGTTTCAAGAATCGAAGTTAGATAAAATTATTTGATAACACTTGCCCTTATTTGTATTATTCTAGAATGATTCAGATTCATCCGAAATGAAGAAAATCAATAGAGATCAGTCAGAATTGAGGGTGTGGGTGTGGGTACTATATTCACCTTGCACCCACACATCCACCCTTGTGTTGGACTTACCTAAGCATGCCTTGCCGGTTGCATCACAGTTGTTGCTTGAGCAATCTGTGGCCACGAGACAGCTCTTCGTGTTCACACACGCTGAGCAAATTGTACCTCCGCAGTCCACATCTGTTTCATCTTGGTTACGAATATTGTCGGTGCATGTTTGTGCTTAAAAAAACATAGAAATATGAGTAATACTATTCTCATTGTTTGAAAGTAGAGTTGCCTATACATAACTATATATGCTGAGATTCGATTATTTATCACAATAATAGAAAAAAACCTTATTCTCAAAATAAAATGAATTACTCGATGATCTTCTCCTGGACTAAATCATAAAGAGGGATGCAACGGTGACGATTAGTCATCGGTTACTACGGTTACCAATTCCTACGACTATCGTCATCGCTGCATCCCTAGGCATTAACTTGAGATTGTAGGTGTGGGTGCTACGTGAATGCAGTATCTACAATCACACCCACACCCTCAGAGTCAATAGTCGGTAAATAAAAAGAGACGGAAACAAAATATAGCTGAAGTCAAGACAAAATTGTCGAAAACAATTAAATTTAACAGCAAAATACGAGAGCCTATATCAACAACAGAATTATATATAAGTTAAAATTCTCTACGACTGATATGGAGCGCACAAGAAATAATATACTACTTATCAGCATTGCACAAAAGTATGAATATTGTGTTATTGTCACCTATATCTTATCCTTAGGCAAAAATTGAGAATGCGAGTGTTGAAGAAAAAAATAAAATATCCACACTCACACTCTCGTTGTATAATGATTTTCGAGTATCTAGAAAACGATGAAAAAAGTCACTTTAAGGAGGAGATAGATGAAGTATACTAGATAAGGCAAACGTTTTGTGCTATTTTTTTTCTAATCTAAAGATTACTACGAATCGTCAAAGGAAAAGACAGAATGAGGAGATGGAAAGAAAAGAGAATTTCAATTTCAATATCACTCATAGATATCTTGCAGGATATGTAATCATCAAATAGATATAGAGGATATTTTGGACAAATATGAGTGGGAGAAATCGTCGGTCTCACGTTTTGTTGAATAAAATGTTTTGGCATGCAGCTAAGTATGTCATAAAAGTTAATAAAAGCAGTTTCAAAAGTCTTAAATATCAATGATTGGGAGTATTGTATTCAAATTTGAAATCAACAGAAACTTTAGAACAAGAAGTTTTTCTGATTTACTTAGTTCAACTAAAGGATCGCGTGACTAACTCTAGGGAACACTACATATCATCTTCCCTATCACTCACTAATGGTTGTTATTGTTGTAGCAGTTGATGATGATGATGATGATGTCAAAGACGTTGTATTTATTGTTGCAGTTGTGCTGTATATGTACATATAGATTAAAGCATTAGAAAAACATA